TATAGGGATCACACCAATGTAGCTTTCATACAGTCTAAATTGTTAAAATGTTTTGATTTAGTGGGATATAAGACTGCAGTGTTTATGTATAAAGCCAGGAGCAATTTATTACCTGGTGGAATTCAAAAACTATTTAATGAAAGGGAAGGGGGATACAATTTAAGGGGTCAGTTAAATTTAAAAATTCATGCTATACGTACAACCAAAAAAAGATTTTGTATTTCCATAAGTGGGGTAAAACTATGGAATAATTTAAGTGTGGACATAAAAAATAGTAATAGAATTGACGAGTTTAAACATAAATATAAAGGTATGTGTCAATCAAGATATATGCAAGAACAGGCTCAATGATTAATTAGATGGAACATTGTGGGTGTGGTGTACATTTTGTAATAATTCTTTAACACTGTTATATTCTGTTTTTAGTATAATACTTGTGTGGTGTAGAAGTGAATCATTTACTGCTTGCAAACCAATGATGTAAGATGATGTCATGGGGTAGGACTGGATAAGTCTGACTTCTTCCTACTCCATTCAAGCATGTACTAGGTATAAGCAAATTGATATTGGATTAGCATTTGTTGGATATGTGTAAAATTATGTGTGTTGACATATCAACAGTCTTTACATGCTTGAAAGAATAAATAAATCAAATCAAATCAATTGTCTCATTTGCCTATAGGAGCAACGTTCGGTCTAGTTTTCTGCGCATCCAATGCAACACAACTGTTTTTAGTGTGAAAACCTTTGCCTTGCTTTGTACTGATCCCTCATGGATGTTTCACTGACCACCTGACCTCTATATTATCACACATCTTCTTAATTTTCCACAATTACTCCTTCCTTTGTAATTATCTCTGCCCAGTAGTGTGTTAGTGTGTTTGTTGTAGACTTACTCTCATCACCACAAACGCACACACCGTAGTTGAGCAATAAGTGCTTATGGGAGAGCTGGCTCATCATACTGGCTGCTTCAAAGAATGACTGTCAGGGAGAAAACAAGACACATTCCGCTTAATCCCACAAGATGTTTAGACAGCTTGAATTTGATACTCTTAACATGTCTGCTCTCAAATCATGTCCTAGGAGTTAGAGAAAGAGACAAAGAAGTGATTGAATGAGGTCCACTTACTCACTCAGTCAACAAACAAACCTCTGAGTAGTTGGAGTGAGCCTTGTCCAGGATCTTGATAACCACATCTATCTGGTGGATCTCTCCGTAGTCTCCCAGCTCCTTCCTCACACCACAGAAGATCTTAGTGAAAGTTCCTTGGCCCAGACTCTCATTCTAAAACACAGAGTGATGAGAGTTCTCTGATGAATACCATTCCTCAAGTGGGTGTAACCCTCCAAGATGTATTACCACAGAAAAAGAGCAACATTCTGATAGACAAAGTAATTTGACAAAGACTTCGCTGTACAATGATAAAATCTTTTAAGCAAAGACATGTTAGTGCTGAGATTGAGATGAAATTACAGAATAGATCGCTTTGTCTGATTTTGCAAGATCACCAGCAGCATCTCTTTTTCTTATTATTACTCAGAACAGTACTCCTATTAGTACAGGCTAACTCAGTTTGTCAGCTGAAATCGAAGGTATAAAAAATAAAAGCCTCAGCCAATCATATCTACCAGAACAAATGAATTCATGAAAATGTAATTCCTGTATCTCTTTGTATTTTCTGAATTTTGATTATCACTGTTGTGGTTTCAAAGGTCAAAGCCTTTGGGGATATCTCTCACTTGCTCCAGGCCCTAAAGATAAACAACTACCCTATCAGCAGTCTTGGAGCTTCTTCACCTGGCCCTTGTTTTTCAGCCAGCTAGACCCCATCTTACCAACTGTGCCTAAAATTCAGCAAATGTCCATTAAAAAGGCCAAGATCTCCTAAGCTTTAAAATAACTGCACAACAAACTTTAGGTAAACCCAAGTTCAGAACAGGAAGATGGAAAAACATTTGTTGAACCTGCTAAAGAATAAGTGAGAAGACAGTTGAGCAGTTCAAAAAAACCCATGAGCTCTCTCATGGGTGGAACGACTTCTGTGGTTTTCCTGTGACAGACCTGTTGCATAAAATTCAAATACTCAAACAACACAAAATATGGTCAGACAGAAATGGGCCAGTCACTGAGGTGGTAGCACGGCTGATACACTGTCACACAGACACACGGTGCGCTCAGCCATGTTCACAGAGACTGCTATTGATGATGCTGACACATGGATCAAGAGGACATGTTTCTAACTATTGCAGCCTCACTGACCCTGCAGGAATCCCGTTTGTCCCCTCTGATCAAAAAATCTTGTCTTCAAAAGGCCTTCATTGGTACTGGCTTTACATGCAGTACTGACAATTGGAATGGCACTGTACTCACTCTGTCACTCTAGATATTTGTGCAAGAGACAACACATCTACTCCTATAAACTAATACGACCCACAGAAACTGAAGGAAATTGCCTAATTATGCATGTTTGTATGTTGTATGTATGTTTTTAATGAAAGGCAAAGGTGAAGCAAGAATTCAAAGAGGGTTATCTTACGATGACAAGATCCTCTTTTCGGATTTTGTGGAAGACCATCTGGCTGATGTTTTGTTTGTGAAGCGAGGGAGACAGACAAACCTCTGCCCCCTGATTATATCTGCACACCAGCAGGTTGGATTTATCTGAGGACAAACAGAGATTAGGGTTAATCAAACTCACATTTTGACAGTTGACATCTGATTAGAAGCACCGTGTGGTTATTGCATATCAGTGTGGCGCTGTTAAATGGCAAATTTGAGTAGAAAAGTAACAGCTACAAACTGTAAAATTAAATTAGAGCCAGAATAAAAACCTACGTGGTTTGTTTCTGGCCCTTGCAGACAGGTAACCTTGCTCAGAAACAGGAGTTTTGCCAGCTGGGTGAAATAATAATTGGGTCACTGAGTCAAGAGGAACTCTATTCAAATCCCCCACAAAGATATAATGGCAAGTTGTGATAGTGATTAGAAAACTCATTGCCCATTTAAAGGACAGCACTAAATCAGCTGCAGTACATCATACAATTCAGTTAAAAACTGATACATTTCTATCGGCGAGTAAACATTTCCCCCAAAAACTGTACAGCTGACTACACCGGAGCTGATACGGTGCCTAGTTGTTTATGTTCATGTGTGAAAAGGGGATTATGGTAAAGCCAAATGCTCTAACGCGGAATTAGTTTGTTGAAGATTAAGTGAATTTAGTGTTTCCCAAAATTTGAAATTGCATTTGCTGTTGGAGGTTGCACCATCATGTAATTAAATTGAGCCTATCAATAAATATGCTGCAGCAGGACGGTCAGTGGTGACTTTAAAGAACAAAGATTCTGCATTCTTCATTGGCATAAATCCAATAGAAGTTCAAAAGGGCATCTGTTATAAACAGAGCTCAGGAGATGGGCAATTATTAAACAGGGATATGAAAAAGAAAATAAATAATAAGAGATAACAGTGTCACAGATCCTTAAGGAATTCAGTGGGGCTCTAAACAAGGAGTAAGTTGTTGCCTAGATATATATCATCGCCTATTTTTGAGCCGCAGATTGTTCCTATCACTTTATTTTTAAAAGGAGCAACAGTTTGCAAAGATTTTCTGCAAAATGGGCAGCACGGTGGCACAGTGGTTAGCACCGTTGCCTCACAGCGAGAAGGTTCTGGGTTCGGGCCCCACCCGGGACCTTTCTCTGTGGAGTTTGCATGTTCTCTCCAGGTACTCCGGCTTCCCACAGTCCAAAGACATGCAGCTTAGGTTGATTGGTGTCTCTAAATTGCCCATAGGAGTGTGTGTGTGTGGTTGTTCGTCTCTGTGTTAGCCCTGCGATGGATTGGCGACCTGTCCAGGGTGTACCCCGCCTTTGCCCAATTGCCAGCTGGGATTGGCTCCAGTGACCCCGTTTGGGACTAAGCGGTAGAAAATGAAAGGTCCAAAAATTTTGAAATGTCTCAGTTGTGCTTGTCATGTCTCAGGTGAGTGGAGTGTATGACTTTTACTTCAGCCTGCATGTGGACATGCATGTTATCATCAGTATAAGCAGAACACTGACCTCTGTCGCTGGGTGGGCAGCATCTGGTCAGCTGAAATGTGTAACCATCCGTGCGGAGCGCCTCCTTTTTGTAGCAGTGCAGAAGTTCACTCAGTGAGCTGAAGCTTCTCTTAGCACCACTCAGAATGTACTCTCCTGACTCTGTCTTCACGATCTGACAGTGCTTACAGTCCACCAAACTGTCATACTGAAAATCAAAAGGAACACAATACAGGTTTAGTTATGCCGCAGTCGCCCACAATATCATTTTAACTGACTACAAAGAGCACTCATTGATTAGTGACACATGAGAGCTGGATAACCTTAAAAATCTGTAATTATTCTAACATCACTCATCTCACCAATGTCATGAAAGAGCCTTAAACACCCCTTTTCATCTCAGCTGGATTATCCATTTATCCGTGTGGAAAACGAGCCTTAAAGCTCCATTCAGTGGTTAAAAATTAGGAAAATACTTTGGAGGTCCTGTTGTGCACGCCCTCACCTTCATCTGTGTTTTAGCAAGCCAGTGACCAAGCACAGTTTGCTGTCAAAAACAGGGGCTCAGCTAATTGTAATGATGCAGTAGTTACTCTGACTTTTACCATCTTACTCCCTACTTAAGTAAGATAGAGAGTACTTTATTAATCCCCTCATGGAAATTCTGAAAAAAGGGACTGAATAAGGATTCAGTCGTACAATACCAAGCGCTAATTAGCATATAGATTATAATGTATTGGCCCTGGTGGTATACTGTATCAGTCAGTGGAGCAGAGAGGTCAAGGTATTGCCAGTCAGTTAGCAAAGTCTGTACTGAAAGAGTCTATTTGTACAGGCAGATGTGAAAAATACTATATGTCACAATGATGATGACCTAATATTAACTGCTTACCCCCACCAGAAAGGACAGAAAGTATTTGTCGTACTCCCTCGGGCTGCAGCGAAGGATGTACAGGCCTTGGTGGTTACCAGCACGACGCAGCTTACCAATCGTAAACTCCATCCTGTGATTAAAGAGAGAATGTGTCTCTGTGTGTGAGCGACTCTGTGGCTGTGGGCACACGTGAGTACTTGTGACGTGCTGCATATGTGCTATACTCACGACACAGGGCCATGGCAGTAGCTCTGAATGCACTCCAGAAGCCTTGGCGGAGCCACCTCTTTACACAAGTAATGATGTGCATCGGCAACCAGCCTGTAGTATCCATCAACTAGTGACGCAAATGACAGGGCCTCTGAGAGCGAATGAAACTCCAGTTCCTTTGTGGTCAGACAGAGACACCGAGAGAGGATGCGGAGGAAGTCAAACATCAGCCATTCAGTACCTGATTTGAACTTTAAACTGTAACTTTTCAATTCATATATTTATGCAATTAAGTGTAACTAAATTGTTCACTTTGGACTTAGTTAAAAGTAGTGATTGTTAATTTTTTTTTGCCCTGTAACTAATTTACTGGTCAGAATTTTCTGTCACACAGGTGAAAACAAATGTTTCTGAAGTCAACAAGCCACCTCGTCACTTTGCTCTGACAACATGTGTCATTAGGGAACACTTTTCTGATATGATTAGATTAGAATAACACAAAGCAAAAGAATAATTCATTTCAGAGGGATAGTAGAGCATGAAGTAGAATATACTACACCAGGATCTGGTTGTTCTGTCTTGTGAGGGTAACTATGCGACTCTCCACAGAGCCTTCCTTATTGGCCTGTTTGATGCTGATGTCAATCACCTCTGGGAAGTCACAGTATGTCTGTAGCTCCTGGCGACACAAAAACATAGTTTGCACTTGTATTAGATAAACGAGCATGCACACGCATGCAGCATTGTTGTTATAGGCAATTATTATCGGTTCCTGGACCTCCATCTATTGGTAAAAAATCAGTTATGACAGCGTCACACTGTGCAAGATTGGTAACATACAAATGCATTACCATGGTAACATGAACCCATGTCCTGTTTCTCACCTCCTCTGATCCCTCTTCCTCTTTCCCTTTTGACCACTGGATTCCCTTGTTACCCATGACGACAATGGTAACCTCACGCGCAGAGAGGTTGGTTACTTGGAAGCGCTCAGAGTAGATGGAGGGCAGCAGCATCTCCAGGCTCATCAGGTATTTGAGCCTGAGGTTACACACTGTGGCCTTACATTCGCTGAACTGCTGGATGAACCTCCTGAAGCGATAGCGTATTCTTTTCCGAGTCAAGATGTTATATTCCTGGATGTGGCTTCGCATGCATCTTGGCAGGAAGGACTTGTAGCTATACACAGGGAGTGGAGATCAGGAAGGGCGGTTAGGTGGAGATACAGCGCAGAGTAACAACAGAAAGAAGAGGGAATGAAGAGCAAACCAGTAAAGATAAAGAGAGACAGGAGGGACAAGTGAAAGAATGAAACAAGGTTAAAAGAGATAACGCTATGTACAGTAGACCATGTGTCAAACCAGCAAACACAAACACATGAGAATTAGTCAGTAGTCACCACAAAGGCAAGGTAAAGGTCATTTCAAACTAAATGATGTTAACTGTAAATCAGATATGGAACAGAAAATATTGGAGAATAACCATATTGAATATGAACAGCATGTATAAGCATGGTACAGATCAGATATTATAGACAACATACTCCCACGCAGAAATAATTCATTCAGTTTTATGTGCCCTCTGTGAAAACATCTGGATGCTCACTGTGTCCCTGGCAGCCTGTCACACTGATTTGAAATCATGGTTCATATTCACATGCATTTTACATTATTTAGGTAACAGAGTGTGCAGCAGGGAGACTAAGTTCATCTAGAATTTTGGTTCAGACCATAATAGTTTAATTTTCCTGATCTTAAAGTCTGCTTTATAAATAAGACATCCACATTTCTGAACTGATTAGACTCTTCTAGTAGACTGGTGATTCTACCAGGTTGCCCTTCACATCCACATTTGTTTCAGAGACCATTTTCCTAGTTTATATGAAAGCAGAAACATCCAAACTACTGTCAGGTTATTGTGGTGCCTCTACCTGGTATAATTATAGATGTCCACAGGTGACTGACCACTTTCTTTTGCAAGCCTCATCATGTCCAGCACTGCCATACCCAGACACTCTTCCTGGGACTCATGGCTCACTTGGATTTGCACCCAACCATCAAGAAAGTCACTACGCCACTGTGGAAGGGGGGAAAAGAGATGTAAAACAACGAATGAACGATTATATCAAGTCAGTGAAAGAAGGGAGCAGAAGAATAATGTCAGAGAAGTGTTTGAATGAGGGAGGTGGAAGGGAAACAGATAGTGATTGGCTCCATTCCCATCCCTACATATGGCTCTGAATATACATTAATGATTCATTAAACAGGAGCAAGTATGGAAAAGTGTTTTTAGATTGCAAACACTTCTAGCTGAACCACCCTTTCAAGTAGCTCTATCAACCAAATAAACCATGTTCAGATGGAAACCAGACAGAAACCAAAATATACAGTATGTTGCAAGAAAAAAAGGTATCTGATTCAGTATTGCATCAACAAACACATCATTGCTTGAGTTGTTGGGACAAGCCAGACTATGGCAGCAGCAGGCGTCTGTGTAACAAATATTCTGTGGGTCAGTATGTTGACACACTGCTCATGGCGCCAGAGCTGCATATGTCAAGTTTGCACAAGTGTGTGGGAAAGAAAAAAAGAAGAAGCAAAGCTCACACACAGACACACGTATTCAAACACAAACACAAACGCAATGAAAAAAACTGCGACAAACCCTGGTTCCCCATTTGTGTTTCTTAAAAAGTCTTACTACCCCACTTCCTGTTTTCTCAGCTTCTACAAAAGAATGGGCTGACACAACAGACAGACTTGCAGTCGGTCAAAGGGACAGGCAACCGAGCACATTTATCTACCAGCACTCCAGCCATTTCAGCTTATCATTCTATTAAATATAATGTTCCACAACAAGAAAGCAACATATACAATTGAAAACCACAAATGCAAAGAAATTGAATAAATGCTAACATACAAAATACCCAGAATACACAGAAGAAAATAACTTAGTGTTGCTAACCTGAAAAAACTGGTATGCCATGACACAGTCATCCATCACGGGGCTCTCCGTCTCCTTGGACACGCTGTAGCGATGGGCATGGATTGAACTGCTATTGTTATACCAGCCAGGAAAATAGTATCTGGACAGAAAATGGAGATGCATAGGAAATTCAGTAAGAAAATAATTCAGGATCAGTTTTATCAGCTTTATTCCTTTAAAGGAATCTAAGCATAAAAACAAGACATGAAAAGGTTAAGAAAATTAAAAAAGAACACATATAAAACATCACTACCTGATTCTGAAGTGCAGTTTCTCAGTGGCTGCCTCTTGCAGCTTAAAGATGTGATTAGGAGGGACCCATATTCTGTCACTGTCCCTCATCAGGCCAAACAAGCTATAGTACACTGGAGCAATCCCTGGAGGGGGACAGTAAACAAGCAAAGGTTTATATATAGCACCTTTCTAAACCGGGGTTACAAAGTGCTTCACAGTAAAATACAGGAAAAAATAAATAAAATGAAAACACACTGCAGTGAAAAACACAATAACATGTACCAAATGGAGTAAAACTAAATGGGCAGGAACCATAACACACAGTAAAACAGGGATACAGGTACCCTACCTGCTGCCAGTGAGTTTTAAAGAGAGAGCGAAACACCATCTTTTTTAAAAGGCAGGACTTGTGTAAATCTATATTATAAATCAGTACAGAGAGTTTTATTCTGCCACTTAAAATCACTAAAATTCATTGCACTTGCAAAGATCAGGTAGCAAGTCAGCAGCAGTTTCCCAGTTGATCAGATTCACTTTGTTTCCAGGTGTGGACAGTGTGCTGCTATTTAAATGATGAAACTAGCATACTCATTGTTCATATTTAAGGATAAAACACATAACTGCTTTCTAAAACCTTTTAGAGCAGCTGGCCAGTATTTAGACATACACAAAATCTTACATATATAGTGTGTGTACACACACACAGCTCGTGCTGTGGTGGCACTGGAGACGACCAGCAACTGTGCTTTGACAGTGATACATGGTGACAACCAACTAGCTTAGTGTTTTTCAGTTAAGTTAGTTGTGTCGACACAGTGACAATAACAATAAGACTCTTTACTCAAAGTGAGTCAAAAAATGTGTCAGCATGGAAACTGCTTTACAAGTCTGTCTGTCCGCCAGAAGTAGGTATGTCTTTTGCACGTCACCCACATCTGTTTTTCTTATTAATTGTTCCCACAACTCCTCGTTCGGTCTTTAAAATCCCAGCAGCACCAGTAGAAAGGTTATTTATCAGCCAGGTCTCATTAGCAGGCAG